AATCTATAATGCATTGTTTCATACGTCGATAATAATCCTATAAAAACAAGCATAAAAAAAATCATATTTTTGAGGTACGGTGGTTTTGGCTGTTATGTGTAGATCGTGTGTGGTGTTTTTTTAGTTAGAGTTGATTTTATACTGGTATTAATTGGTTAGCATGTTTCATGCTAAAAGAGAAGATTGGACGTAGAGATAATCTATAATGGTGGTTTTATGGTCATAAAAAAGGTTGATTAGGTTTGATCTATGTGTGAGAGAGGGGATCAGTGTCATATGCTGCAGTTGTGTGTAGACATGGATTGGGGCTTAAATTTTGTTTTAATCTCGTATCAGGATAGATTTTATTTTATATTGGTTGTTGATGGTATTTTAGCTAAAAAAAAGAAGAAAAGGTTGGATTTGGTGTCGTGATGGTTACGACTAGTGTAATGGCTCATGTGGTAGAGAGTACAAAAAATATATTAACAAAAGATATTAATTAAAAAATCAAAATTAAAATAAGAAAAGATAAAAGGCAACATATTTGGCCTATTTGGAAAGGGCCCATGCACGGGGACCTTTTTATTACTTGTCAGTGGGGTAGATGTCATGTCAGACGACTTATCATCTGCTTTTCCCTAAATTTTGATTACTATGGTGGTTGAAAAATAAGGAATCATCAGTTTTTGGACAAGAAACCCAATTATTAACCCATTTTGACCCTCAATACCAGATAAAACCCTGTACATCTTTAAAAACCCATCAATGACATTGATCAATCTAAAAAATCGTATAAAAGTCTAAAATCAACTTGATTTTTTTTTTTTTATCTTGAGCTTATATTTATTTTTTAGGCATGTTAAAGGTGTAAAAACACGAAATCAACTAGAATTTTTTTTTATCTTGAGCTTATATTTAATTTTTAGGCATGTTAAAGGTGTAAAAACACTTAAATAGAATTCCCTTCACTAAATGAAACCCATTGACACCAAGATAGATTATTTTGGTAGTCAGAATTAGCGTCAAAACCAATTTTTTTCTCTTTAGTGTTGGAATTTGGTGACTCTCTCTTTTGTCTCTCTAACCAAGGAATTAAGAATAAAAAGAAAAAAAAAAGAAGAAGTTTTGCACTGAAATTGATTTTTTTCCTTTGAAAGTTTGAAAATTGAAGGGAACAAGATTTATAATTTGGAAAGTATAAGGACTATAACGAACATTTCATCCAAAGTTTGAAAAAGCAAGCAATTTGTTTTTAATTTTTAAACTCTAGTTCCCATTATTAATCTCGTAATTTCCTAACAAATTAGTCTAAACCGGTCTATAATCTGGTATGAAAAATGCTAAATCAAAAAAGAAAAGAAAAGAACAAAAAAAAATACCATGAATAATTAGTCCATTGTGTTTTGTGAAAGGATCCACAATGCATTTTACACCATGAATTCCCCACACCTTATACAACTACAATTCTTTGGTGTCATATTGTTATGCTTTTTATATTATTACCATACCAAGCATAAAATATAGGGACATAAATCTATTTATTTATGATAATAAATATGAAAGAGGTAATAATGAGAAAAACATGCCAAACATAAGGCTATTGCTTCATTTGTCTTCTTAATAAATGTGCTCTTGTGATTTTACTAGAATATAAAAAGGATTCCACTTTACTTAAAATGGACGAGCCTTGATCGGTATCGTGTTCATTAAGTTTCTCTTCATGATTGACATCTAAAATCACAGTGCAATCACCAACGTCATCAGCACTACCACTGGTTGATCTAGTTGTAACAACAACTCTATTTAGAGAACGTTTGGGAACAACGTTCTCAAAAAATTCAATTTTTATTGCTACAAATTTATTTTTTTATATGTTTTGGATCGTTTTGATGTGCTGATTTTAAAAATAATTTTTTAAAAAATAAAAAAAATATTATTTTAATGCATTTCAGCACGAAAAATACTTTGAAAAGCAACCACAATCACACTTTTAAATGGGTTCTTAAGCTTTTTCTCAACATCTTTAAAATATAACACAAGTTAATTTCTATTTTTTTACTACCTAATGCATGCATCGTTTTCTCCTTGTTGATAATTTTTTCAATATTTTATCATTGATTAATTTAAAAAACTAAGAATGACAAAACAAATACAATCCCATAAACAATACATATACATACATATACTTAGAGATAAAGAGATACTAATCAAACTTAGCATGGTCTCTTCTTAAAATCAACACAAAAATAAACTCCACCTAAAAAAGAAAGTGAAAATAAACTTCTCTTTTACTCATTAAAACTCATTACCTAGCTTTTTTCATATATATTTCACATTAAGCAAGTCAACAAAATTGGCTAGAGAAGAGAAAAAAATAATTTTTTTTTTCCAAATATGAACAATTTGCTTAATGTCATTTAATTTCCCAATATAATAAATCACAAATCAAATAGTACATTTACTAGTAGAACTACAATAGAACATGTGATTCAATACAAAGTCTCAATCTGTCTGACACTTTCTTTAGTTTTACAAATATCAAACTACACTGTAATCAAGTTAATCAAAATAAAACAAATCAGAGTACATAAAAGACCAAGCTCATAAACTTGAATTTTCACATTCTATAGTTTTTAATACTAACAGTTCACATCAAACAAAAGAAGAGTTTGAGTAATTTTAAGGAAGGTATTGATTTTAGCTGAATATAGAGATTATGCGTGTTTGTGGCTATGAGAAGAAGTATTAAGTGTGATGGAGGCCGAGCTTCCTTAGCTATGGATGTGTATGATGGTTTTTGAAAGGGATTGTTGCTAGTTTTGATAGGGAGGAAAGGAAAAGTTTGATTTGTGGTAGTTTTAGGTGATAGGTCTCGGTTTGCCGAGAGTGGGTTGAGAGGGAGACCGTGAGTTGTTAGTCCAGACAAGGAAGGTGGTGATGGTGTTTCCTTTGGTTTCTAGATAGTGACCATATTTTAGAGATGATGGTTTTTGTTAGATTTTTTTTATTTTTCTTCTTTTTTCCCCCTTTGAATGAGAGGGAGATGGACTTGGTAAAGGTCGAATATTAATGGTGTTTTTATGTGTTTATGAGGGAAAAGTTGTGGATGATGCTTGGTCTCATTTTTTTTCCTTGATTGGTCTATTCGTAATCCCCCTCCTCGTAGTTCTTTGTTAGTAGGCTTTTTATGAATGATTTAGGAGTTTGATTTCTAGAGATTACATTGGAATTTAAGCTATTATTGAGGGATTTTAAGATTCAATTTGTTATGGTTTCAAGATTGAATTCTATATTTTGAAAGCTGAGAATAGGATTGAGGATCTGGGTTTAATTGCTAGGATCCTTGGTTAATTGCTTAAGAATTTGGCTGTAAATGAAAGATTACAATTTCTAGTTTAATTGTTTGGAATTAATTTGAGATTAAATCAAATTAAATCAATTCAATTGAACTTAGTTAGATTGAAATCAATTAGTAAATTGGACTAAATTGAATTAAAAGGATTGAAATTTAGACAAACAATTTTTATTCTTATTACAATTCCTAGATTTTTTGATTTTCCAATTTCATTCAAATTTCCTTAAACAAACAGTGTCGCCATAATAGCATGCATGTGAACACAACAATTTAATAATATAGATAAAATAAACAGTGCTAAAAATAAATACCAATAAATAAAAATATTTACAAAAATAATTAGACAAATAATATAGCGATGAAAAAGAAAAAGCTAGAGAGATTACACAAGTAATAAGCTTAAACTTGAAACTGTAGCAAAGTCGTTATTTTATCGCATGCATGGTGAGGACCAAATAACTATAGTAAAAAATTGGAGTCGCCATATAGAAATAAAGTAAATAAAAGATTTTAAAATGCACACTTATTTTAAAGACTCAGATAAGGTAATTATGCTTAAGGGAAATAAGTAATAAGTTCAAACTTGAAACTGTAGCAAAGTCGTTATTTTATCGCATGCATGGTGAGGACCAAATAACTATAGTAAAAAATTGGAGTCGCCATATAGAAATAAAGTAAATAAAAGATTTTAAAATGCACACTTATTTTAAAGACTCAGATAAGGGGCTAATTATCTTTAAGGGAAAAATAAAGTGACCCTTACAACATCATATCTTACAAAAAGATTATCTTTACTATGTGTTTCTCCTAAATTTATCCTTTTAATTGTCCTTAATTATCTTAGTTATTTTTTATTTATTTTTAATTTTTTTATTATTTTTCATAAAAAATTTAACTATGATCTCTAAAAATAAAAGACTTATTATTTTGGTTATTCATAAAAGTCAATTCTTAACATCAATCCTTTATTGTTTTGGGTTTTTTTAATAAAAAAACTTATTATTTGTTCATCTAAAAGAGAGACTTGTATTTTGCAAAATTTCAATATCTATCCCTTTTAAAAGGTGACATGTTACCAAGATTTTTAAACTTGGGCATTGGCCATGTAAGGATGACATAAAAGGTGACATGTCATTCGTCTTAGTTTTTTTAATTAAAAAAGCAGCATGCAACTTGTCACCTGCAACGGCAAAAAACTTGTTACTGGTTAATCCTAGATTCTTGTTATTACAGGGTTACCAAAAAAATTAAGGCAAGGGTGTCTTACATAAAAATAAATAAATTCTATTTTCAATTATTACACATTTACTTTATGTAATATTTTCGGGTCTATCGTAAAATAATTTTAGTTAAATTGATGTGATCTCATAAAAACTCATTGAATAATAATAGCCTTTGAATTCATTTAAAACAACCAAAATGAATAGGCCATTACTACTTATCATTTATAATAATAATAATAAAGGCCTAAATAAGCAAGCTAGACCACGCACCGACTTTTTTTTGTCAAGGCATAAGCATGCATGGTCATCCAAGTCCCCTCGCCTATGTTCTGTTTTCATTACATAAAAAAAGTTGTTTTCGGCGTCAGGCGTGCCAACAATGTAGTAATCTTCTAAGACATGAACAAGCTTTGGCAATGTAAAGGTACAAACGTCTGGTTAGTATTCCGAAATAGTACGATAACTGCAATTCTTTGGTGTCATATTGTTTTGCTTTTTTATATCATTACCAAACCGAGCATAAAAGACAGGAGCAGAAACCTATTTATTTATGAAAATAAATATGAAAGAGGTAACAATGAAGAAAACATGCCAAACATGAGGCTACTGCTTCATATATGTCTTCTTAGTAAATGTGTTCTTTTAATTGTTGTTGTCCGTCCAGATTTGTTTCTGAAGATACTCGACTAACTTCTTGTCCAAATGGAAGGCCTTGGTGAGAACATTAGGATTCATGGGTGGATCTGCTCCGAACACTGCATTTGCAATTGTAATCACACCGGGGTTCTGGCTGCTTAAACTGGCAAATGCAACGGCATTGGTTTTTCCCACATTAAGCTGGAAATGAATGAGTCCGACTGGGAACACAAAAACATCTCCAGGATTTAAGACCTTGGTGATTAGGCGATTACCTCCTTTAGCTAAGTTTGATGTAAGAAAACCAACATAGAGGGTACCCTCCACGACTAATAGGATCTCAGTGGCACGAGGGTGCGTGTGGGGTGGGTTGAGGCCACCATGTGGTGCATAATCAATGCGAACCAAGGATATGCCAAGAGTGTTGAGTCCTGGAATTTGAGCAACATTGACAGCAGTGACATTTGAACCAACTGGACTGGAAATGTCCCGAGGAACGTTGAGTCCAGCAAAGAAGAAATCCTTTTCAGTAACTTGCTCTGGGTCCTTGCAGAATTTTCCGTTCACAAACACTGCATGAGAAAGGCATTTGATGCATGCCCTTAAAAAAGTCAGTCAATTTATAAAGAACGAAGATATTAAAATATACACGGGATGCATGCTATTTTCAGTGTAATGTTATCATGTAACTCCTGACAAAAACTCTTGACTAAACACTTAAAAGGATATACCACCATCGGTTTCTTTCATGGCAACACAGAAGTCCTGAAGAGGACTAGGATCAGAGGCAGAGGCAAATGAAGAAGCCAAAGCCAAGACGACAAAAACTAGTAGAAACTTGAGTCCTTCCATCATATTCTAGATGGATGTGGAGAGGGGTGAGATATCTAGCGAGGATGCAAGGCTATTTATAGATTGGAGTAATTGAATTAGTCCTAAATGAAGCCGACGAAGACTCAATAGTCGCTTGTTCTATGATGTCAGTGATGAAACCAAATCCTCAAAACATTTGACATTATCCGTCATATACCAATATTCTCTTTATAATACTCTTTCCAACATGATACTTTTGCATTCAGTTAGCAGGACTGGGTGCGTCTGGTTTTCTCGTTCTTAATCGTGTCTGCCTACGATTTATGAGTTTATCCTCCTGTCACTTGCCTGCTTTGGATTTTGGACATAAATATTGTACGCTGGCGTTATCCAATTGTATGGTAATGATTCTGCCTCCCATATCATTATCCTGCGTCTTTTTAAAATAGATAGAGATAGCTAAAATAGAAATATTTTGGTTATTAAGAGTTTTTTTGTCAGCATAATCTTTATTCAGTATTTTATATATCTCCTTACGGGGAAGGCAAAGGGATGGAAATAGAAATTCTTCATTAATATGGTTTTAATGAGCGGAGAAATTACCTTATTATGTTAATTTAAAAAAAACAATACTTATTATAAACGACAATTAAAATAATTATTTCTATTTATCATTTTAAATATTGCAAGATTGGTAGTGATAATTTATTTTTATTTCTTGTCATTTATTAAACATGGAATATATATTAGCATTCACAATGTCTTAAAATCCAAGTGCTTACAATCTTCTGTTAAAATAATGCAATTGTGGAAATCACTAAAAACGTTCTTAATATTTCAGTAATATATTGGAGCTAGCTGGCTTAAGGTCAATAATTATATAGTCATCTGATCTTATTTTAACTGTAATGTAGAACTGAATAGTATTCCATATGAACCTCACATTGCTGGTGAGATGTCTTCATTCTTCATCTAATATTCACAGCATTTGATCCTGTTACGTACAGTCAAACTGTTCTTAGTGAAAATGCATGCTTGTTTGGATGTTTATTCCTTTCACTAATCTATTAAATTGTCCCACCAGAAGAAAGCTGGTGGAGTATTCTGTTGAGAGTGTAAACACCATTTCATCAACAATTTACATCTTTGATAGATTTATTGAAAAAAACATGTCGTTGAAAAAACATTGTTAGAAAATCTTCGACTAGTTTGCGTGTTTCTATTTGTAACCAAGTTACTGATAAAAAATTAAATCACTAATTTTATTGGCAAATACTTAAACATTGCTGAAAGAATAGCCAATGAAATCTCACAAGTCATGACAAAATCATCAATGATTTTTTTTCTTTCTAATTGGTGATTTCATCGGAAAGTTTTTGAATTATCTAGTTGTAAATGAAAAAAATAACGAAAATTACAACAATAATTTTGTCAAACATCAAAATTTTATTAATTTTAATATTTTTTAAAAAATAATTTTACAATAATAAATATATCGCTACACAAATTTGGCTACTCGTGTTTTAACATGTTTTAGAACTGTTGCTACAAATTCCAACATTGACTAGCATGGGTTGGATTGTTGTGTGTCTAAAGTTGAAGCAATACAATCCGACCTCATTTATATAGTTAATGCCATACACATATTGTAAATTCAATTTTTATTGTTTCCATTAATTTCTTTATCTTCTAACCACAATTGAGAATCATGAGAAGTATAAGTGAAAGTGTCTTCTCCATATTTCTCAACCATTGCAGCAATATATGTTTCTTATAAAACAAAAAATAAAAGTAAAATATAATTAAAAAAATTACAAGAAATAAAAAAAACTTAGAAAAAACATTTTTGCTCTCCTATCTGCAAACTTTTTCACCCATCTCCTCGTATCTATCTTTTTTTATATAAGTTTCCTTGTATAAATCCATTGAAGTAGGTTTATGCCTGAATTGTTTTTCTTGTAAAATAAATAAGTTATTAAAAAGTCTAAAAAATAACTTGTAAATTAATAAATAAAGAAAAAACAATTTAAACATTTTTCTCAGGCATTTGCATGGTTGACAAATGAAAGGGTGTGCCTACTTATCGAACCATTTGTTTTTTTATATCGGTTCTGTGTCTTAGATTATGAACACATTTTAAAGTGTTTTAAGGCCATAAATTATATAAACACCCTCTAATTATCTTTTATGACATGACTCGGTCTATGTTTTTTCTAACCACGATGTCATTAGAGTTGACTTGTTTTTTTAATATTTGTGGGTTTCATACCACAAATCATGCAATATAGTACAAAGAGTTTGTTAAATATACATAAGATTAGAAAACTTATGATTGCAAATTCATATATAATTTTTTTTAATTAATTGATGTTTATCTCATTGCTTTGAGTTTTCCCATAGTTTCCATTTCCTCTTTTCTCTTTCCTACCAAAATGTTTCTAGTTTTGTTAATTCATACATTAATTCTTTTTTCTCTGTTTTTTCTCCTAAATGGTTTTTTTATTTCCCTTAATTATCCTAATTAACTTATTTTTTTTTTAATTTTCTATAAAAAAAATTGATGTGAGTCCCTAAAAATAGGAGGAGACTTGTGATTTAGTTATGCTTGTTTCATAATTTATATGATTTTCATGGTTTTCTAACACACAAAAAACTTAAATGAAAATAATAGAAATAATGATAGGATTAAAATTAACTAGAATTAATGAAAAAGTATGGATTTTTTTATGCTTAATAGGTGTTTAAAAAGTTTAGATGACATAGGATCACTTCAGGATCAATCTTGTCACATGGTTATTCTTAATTGAGAATTTTTCTTGACAATACATCCTTTTGGCCTTGACTTTTCCTTATTTTTATTTTTTGTATGCCTTTTTAGCATTTTCTTCACATACTTTTTTGATTTATTGATGCTTTGAGATCTTAAAATAATTTTTTATTTCTTTTTACACCAAGTGTGGTGTGGGATCTTAGTAAAACTGTGAGGTGTGATCCTAGTAACATTTCAAGATTCTAAAGCAACAATATGACATATGAAAAGATACTTTGTTAAAAGTGGAATGAAGTTCTCAGAATAAGAAAAACAAAGTGCAAAAAATATGGTTATTCATAAAATTAAAATAACAAAGTAAGGTAGCGACATTTACCTCATCTTCATATTAGGTATCCTAGTAACATATGTGTCTTCTTAGTATTATCCTTCATAAATTTAACTTGTTCTTTACTCACTAGCTTTCGGACTATATACTTTAAATTCATGCAATTTTCAATTAAGTGGCCTAGGATCTCATCATGACATTCACATTTCTCATTTGGATAATATCACTTAAGGAATGCTATTGTGTGGGATCTGATGGAGTTTGAGGAATATGTCTTGTGTTCTACAAGTGTTGGTACATCTTTGAGTGGTAGAGGTATGTTAATCTTTGATAATGACACTTAAACACTTGCTGACTCTCTGAGATCTGGTTAAACATGATTATAGTTCTCAATCTGAAGCCACTTTCAATTCATCTTTTGTCATAATTTTAAAGCTCATGGTAGGACAATTGATTTTTCCTACTTTGATGGCCTACTCAATGCTCGCAGCTACAATCACAATATTTGTTGGATGTTGGGTTGTGGTTCCTATAAGGTGCTTGAAATAAGGGGCTTTGAAATTGTTAGAGAAAAGATTAATCATATCTTTATCTAACAATGACAGGTTTACTTGTGATAAATGACAGGTTTACTTGTGTGACTTTTTCATACTATTTTTTAGTGTATTCATGAATAGATTCCTTGCCTTCATTCTCCATGTCCACTAAGCTAAATTTGTGTGGGGTGGTGTCCATAATGAATCTGTATTATTTCATATAAGCCTCTACCCAGTCGTTCTACCTTTTAATCTTAATATTATCTAGCCTCATGTATCATGCTAGTATAGTGTCACTCAAATTATCTTGAAAGAAATGGACAAACATCTTTTTATCTTTTACTATTTCTACTATTTTATTGCAATATATCTTTAGTTGAATTACTGGGCATTGTTTACCAATGCATTTTATGAATTCTAGTACTTTTAATTAATTATGCAATGTTACATTAGGAACAAAACACATCTTAATAGATCTTATAAGGTTG